ACAACTGCCGAAACGAAGAGGGCCAGATTCTTCAAGAGAAAGAAGCTGACGTACCACACCACCTTGAAAACCGCACTGCCCACTTTGTGCCTGTTCCCTCTGTTTGTTCCCGGCCTGCTTTGGCGAAGTGGTCCAGTTGGCGCAGGGGATGCACTGCAGAACATCTGCATCTGCACGCGCGTGGCCTTCAGTGCAGCTCGCGCACCTCGACGCGGTTTCAAGGAGTGCCGCCCTCGATGCCTTCGCTTCTTTTATACTATACATACTTCTCTCTTTCTTTCTTCCCTCTTGCGGTCTTTCCATTCTCTCCCTTCTCCCCTCCCTCCTCCACCTCAACCTCGTTATGCAAACCCTTTTTCCGCGTCTCCCCTTCCCTCTCCATCCCTCCCTGACTGATGAAAATCCTGCTCCGACGGCGCTGCGCTCCTGGCGGGCCAAGATGAATGAAAACTCCACCTCTGAATTAGGCCCCTGTTGAAGAGTTCGATGTAAGTTACGAGTACCATATAATAAGGAAGCCACATAATGTACAATAGATCTCTATTTTGGTAGCATAGCGGGGCTCAAATTGACGAGATAGCGACTGTCGAGTCTAACCCTGCAGGCTTAAGGGACTGTCTCTTTCTCCCCCTCTCTCCTCTCTCGCTGTGACTTTGGGGGCCAAGGGTCCCGGGGCCACGATAGCCCTCTTCACACATGGGCACCAGCTCCTGCCAGCACACACCATGACACGTGCTCCCCACATAATCCCGGATGTCTGCAACGATCGCGTAATGTTCGTGCGATGGCTACGGGGCATCCAAAGCACCCTGTTGCTTGAATCTGTGTGCCCAAGCTCACTCCCCAGGAGGCCCTCCAACCGCCTGAGAGGCATTCACCTGCAACCCTGGGGCCCGTCCTCCGCGCGCGCCCCGGGGACACTGCTGGCATTGAAGTGTCCGCCGCGGCAGGCCTCAGCCAATCGCGGCTAACTACGTCGCAGGCGAAGCAAACCTCTGCACGGGTCATCTGACACACAAGCTCAAAGTTCAATGTATGTAACCCTCATGACAAGCCTTGCTTTTGTTCCTCTGTTGGTGACTTTGTCATATATATATATATATGGCAGACCTACTTGTATACATGTAGGATGCTAACCGCAAAACAGGCTAGCCAAAACCAACAACTACCATTGAGACTACAACACTGAAAATGAACAAGCCCTCGAACCCATGCTGCTGAAACCTTGATCCTCCACGACATCCAGGCAGTCTGGTAGTTCACCCGAACCCAAGCTTTTGACAACCCATTCTCCCAAGAATTGAGTTTTGCCTCCCGGCCTGAAAGGGGTGGGGCTGCACATTTTGACCGTAGCCAGCCAAAGAGGTGGTCGCCACCTCGCCCAGCATCTTAAATTTCGGCTTAGGCGTCAGAAGCCGTCAATGGTAGAATTAGCTTTTGTGAGTTTTAGAGGATGTTTTAAGTTATGTATAGGTTTCAGTCAAGAGCTCCACCGCGAGGTTTGACAAAGGGCCATCAATGTTCGAATCGGATCTTATAGAGTTGGCTCTACAGGGCTTTGTAAGGTTGGGGTATGCAGTACATAGTACCAGCAGCTTAAAGCAAACGCCAAACTCCCTCACCCCCAAGGACAAATCTATTCATTTCGGGAGCATTGTCTGCACGGAACATTCTCTGGCAGGTTCGGAGTGCAGTCCTACGTTCCTGCGGTTGCTGCAGCCTATGCCCAAAATGTGCACGGCACTCCGGGAACACTGCTCCGGGGGGGGGGGAAGGGTGGCAAGGAAACAACCTCGCAATATCCGAGAATATAAGCCCAGTTCCCTGTCAAGGGACCTACAAACATGCAAAGGAACTTTATGAGCTGGGCCCCAAACCCAACGTGCCTGCTTTCCCTTAGAACTTGGTGAGCTGCGCACCCTACTGAAAACCCTACGCCGAGTTTCCTCCGCAAAATGGAGCTACACTTAACCAAACAAAGGCTTCGTAACAGCCTCGTCGACACCTAAGACCTCAGGACTTAACTGTACGTAACTCACAACAGGAGCTGCGCACAGGGGGAAAACCTTGGCCCTATGGGCCGGTGGACGAAAAACAACGCCTGACTGTGCGATACTCCAGAAAGGCAGGCAGAGGCACGAACACCGAAAGGAGTTCCACTACGAACCATCACCACCTCCCGTTTTCAAGGTGACTTGTAAACAACAGAATGCCAGCTCGAGAATCACCACCAACAAACCCATCCAAAGATTCCTGTAAAAGCCTTTCGAAACTCCAACAGCTCCCCAAGACCAAGGCCCCGACAGTGTCAAAGCCCTGAAGCCTAAACCCGACAACAAGCCCAAGCCGAAAATCTATAAACCCTCGCCCCGATCAAACCCATACGCTTGAACCCCTATAAGCCCTTAGGAACCCCCAATTCCCGAAACCCAGCCTCAAACAGCACCAAAGCCCCCGGCGTCGTCTTATCTTCCTGCGTCTGAACGAAGACCGCTGCGGAGAGGTCCTCAGAGTCAGCTGGGAGTTGTAGGGTTTATGCTCTATAGGGCTTAAGGGTTTCGGGTTTAAGCGTTCAGGGAGGAGACTGCAACATTCCATGAAGTTACTCGACCTGTTTCCTCGGGACTGTAAAGGATGACCTTTGGGATTATACAGGGGTTGTGGCACCCGAAACAGGTTAAAGGTTACTTTCCCCACTATGCATCCAAAACAATTGGGAAAATGGACCCGGAGGGTCCAAGTACACCACAGTCTTTATCAGCAGGGCTACCGTAACCTACAACACGACTATCCTAAACTCCAAAATACTGATCAATTGTTTCGCGCCGGGCGCCGTTGGTTTTTACATAACGTAAGGCCTGAGTAATTACCAATGCCATTCCCTATTTCAGGTTCCTTGCTAGAAGCAGGCTGTAATGAATATACCACCAGAACCTTCCAATTATTGAGGCCCTGTACGTACTAATGGTAGCCCTTATAGACACCTTTACAAGGGACCTTTTTCAAATCAATCAGGCACCTATGTGAGGGGATGGTCCCGATCGAGACCTTGTGTTTCTTCCTTAGCATCCCAGGCTTCCGATTGCAGGGTTCGCTTCAGCGGCGTGTCGGCGTGTGTGTCTGTGGGTGTTGTGTGGAAAAGCTCGATTTAAAAACAAAACAAGGACAGAAAAGGGTTGCTACAAGGCTTCCATAAGGGTGCTACGAGCCTCAGGGTTTCAACTCTTAAACCAGGCCTTGGGCATGCAAGTACTATACCGTAGCAGCTATAACAAGGAAGCGTAACGAGTAGTATCGTCATTTTCCAAGCCATATTAGCACTCAATCCTTCTTTTGTCGTCATCATCATACCACAACAATAACACACAAAGCTGCCTTCATCCTCCGCACCAGCGTCGCAATGCCTTGTGAATTTCACTCTCGTCCTTATACCATCTTCATCGTCGCCATCATCACAGCTATGACCGTCATCACGATCGCTGCAACGCCGCAGACAAGCACTGCACCCAAACCCTACAGCAACACGGGGCATGAAGCCTAAATCCAAATAACCCTTTGTTTTATGAACCGTCTGTTTCTGCAGCCGAGGCGCAGCCCGGGTGAGGTAGGCAACGTTGACGGGGAAGCCAGTGCGAGCTTTCCTGCGAGCTCGGCCCTAAGGGGAGAGAACTACATCGGAAGGCAAAACCTCCCTGGTAGGGAGCTTGTCCAGGAAAAGATGTGCTCTTGCCACGTTCTTTTTGCTCTTCGCCATCAGAAAGTGCCAAATCTAATCATCTACAGTTCTTGTTGAATCAGCGCGAGGCTCAGCGGCGGCCTCCCTTCCCGGTGACAAAGACCTCATGGTGAAAGTCTGGACCCCGAGATCCCGAAACGGGGCCCTTCTGAGCTGGGATGCCGGGTGACTCTCCGTAAGGGTTTAGGGCTTTAATTGCCTTTATAGGCTTTATGGCTTCAGGGTCTAAAGTTATAAGCACACACAGATATATATATATATATATTTATTTATTTATTTATACATACATACATACAGACACATACACACACAAAGACTGCACCTCAGAATTCCCCAATTTCGGTCTCGTTGCAAAACCCGGCTGCGGGTCGGCTGCAACCATCGTTTCAAGGGTTTGATCAGAACGACATTTCTGCGCTTCAGATGGCTTTGCTCTCAAGAACCTGGATCTGACCCTGCAACAGCTCAGGCGCCTGGCAGCCGACGCTTCCTCCGCCTTCTTGGCCTCGGCCCTCTGGCGCCGCTCCGCCAGGTAGGCCAGGGCGAAGGTGACCATCATGACGATGCAAATTCCCTGAGCTTCGGTTAAACTGCCATGCTACCCGCAGAAAGAGTGAGGAAGGAAGGGAGGGAGGGAGGGGAAATCAGGAAGCGGGAAGGGCGGTTTGGGACCCCAAGGCCACTGCAGCCGGATGTCTCCAGCAATAGAGCAAATCAGGAACACCAGGACGCGCTGCGTCAAAGTGGACTTCGCCCAGTGCAGGTCGTTGGCCTTCGCTTCACAGCTGAAAGCCGCAGCACCCCTAAACCCTCCCAGCTCAAAAGCACTCCCGCTGAATGCGAGCCAGTCACGATAAGACAAGTAGTCATCCCTGTAATGGTCAGGCTCACGATCAACAGGTAGATCTCTGCACGGTTCCAGTCATCTGCCTCACTCGCAGAAACAGGACACGACTAGAGCGAAGCCCTTGAAAGGACCCACTTGAAGACTTGAAATGCTGCATCAACGAAAATGCAGGTTGTTGGGCCAGGCCGCCTGATATGGCCAGAAGTACAGATGCGCCACCAGGGACGCGATGAGAACCAGAGTCACGGCTTCCATCTGAAGTGCCTTCAGAGCTCCCCGCTGCTTCCCAAAGACGGCACAACTCTCTCCCTCCATGGACTCCCAGTTCGACATGGGAGTGTATCTATGCGTAAAGTTGCTTACTTTGAATGTATGTACGGACGAATATGTGTATACATACACGTGTACATACATACATACATACATACATCCATCCATCCATCCATCCATCCATCCATCCATCACTACATCCATCCATCCATCCACCCATCCATCCTCCCTTCCATACATCCATCCATCCATCCATCCGTCCATACATCCATGCATCCATACATCCATCCATCCATCCATCAACCCATACATACATACACACATACATACATACATACATACATACATACATACACACACACACATGCATGCA